GTACGTCATCTGTTATTAAGCAGTTAGGCTCATTTGCATATTTGATGCTCAGGGGCCCGGGTTCATCATCTCGTGTACAGGAGCATCATCTCACTCTGCCTTGAAAACGCTCATTTGCTGGTTATCACACACACATACATACATGTATGCATAAGTATACACACAAACACACAAACACACACAACACACACACACACACACACACACAGCACATATATATATATATATAGATAGATAGATATATAGATAGATATAGATATAATACACATACTATAAAAACTATATATATATATATATATATAATATATATATATATATATATATATATATATATGTATGTGTGTGTGTGTGTGTGTGTGTGTGTGTGTGTGTGTGTGTGTGTGTACATATACCTAAACACACACACATATATCTATATCTATCTCTATATATCTATTTTAACTATTTATATCTATCTATCTATCTATCTATATGCTTATCTAATTATATGTATATATATACATATTCACAGACATCCGTTAGAACACGCGCCCGCACACATATAATGTTAGCGTTCGTGTGGACGAATTAATTAACACTATGTTACCTCCATCAATCCGCGAATGGCTTGTCGAGCAAACCGCACAAGCTGAGCGCCGAAAGGCGTTAGACCAGTAAGCTTATTCTTTACATTCCTGTAGAACACAACACGCTATGAGTGTTATGGGCGTTAAGGGCGATTAATTTAGCATGAATTGCGATTCTCGTGTGTCTTTCTGAAGGGAGACATCGGCTTGTGTCCCTCTAAAAGTAACAGTAAACATTAACAGTTTTGGAATGCGTTTGTCATTCTGATGTTTATGGATACAACACATTTTCATAGTTTGGCTGCCACTTCGAGAAGATGAGTGAATTAACATAATATAAACAAGATAGGTATTAACTTGGTTCTTTTTATGTATAATAAAAGCCTTAAAGAGCTAAAAGAATGGTTGTAACTATTATTACCATATCATTTGCATATAGATTGTGGAAAGGAGGAAAAAAAGGGGGGAGAGGAGAGAAGAGTAAGGTAAGGGAGAGAGAAAGAGGAGGAGAGGACAGGGAGAGGGAAAAGATGAAACGAGAAGAGGGAAGGAGAAGGAAGGGATTGGAAAGGAAAGAAGAGCAGGCAAGGGAGAGAGAGAGAGAAAGGGGAAGAGAGGAGAGGGAGAGGGAAATATGAAATGAGAAGAGGGAAGGTGAAGGAAGGGATTGGAAAGGGTGAAGAGCAGACAAGGGAGAGAGAGAGAAAGAAAGAGGAGGAGAGGAAAGGGAGAAGGAAAAGATGAAATGAGAAGAGGGAAGGAGAAGGAAGGGATTGGAAAGGAGTGAAGAGCAGGCAAGGGAAAGAAAGAGAGAGAAAGAGGAGGAGAGGAGAGGGAGAGGGAAATATGAAACGAGCGCAATGAAGTAGGAAGGGACTGGAAAGAGAGGAGAGAGGAAAGGAAAGCAGAAAAGAGGCGATAACTCGGAAAAGAAGAGAGAAGGAGCGAGACAGAAGGGAGATGAAGCGAAAGTAGTCGAGCTCTTTCCTCGTGTCAATTACTGGACAGAATCGCGGCGTTTTGGGCGTGACTGCCGCTGTTCCGACGCTGTGGCTGTCACGCCGAAAGCCGGTCGTCTCGCCGCTCTTCTGCTTTGGCGGTTTTTGCTGCTGGAAATCTATTATATATGTGTGTGTGTGCGTGTGTGTGTGTGTGTGTATGTGTGTGTGTGTGTGTGTGTGTGTGTGATGTGTGATGATGTGTGCATGTGTGTGTCATGTGTGCAAAGAAAGTAAGAGAGAGAGATAGAAATAGAGACAGACAGACATTCAGAGACAGACATACAGACAGACAGACAGGCCGAGAGAGAAAAAAAGCGAATCACGGAGCGAGCGAAAGCGCCGTGTAAACGTTCTGTATCAATCTGGGAAAGGCTAGATCAGTAGCAACTCGAGCAGGTGTCATGGCGTCTGTTTTTGATATATATTTTTGATATCTGTTCACTGAAAATATAATAATTAAAATCATCATTTTCCATCCTTTTTGAAAACTGAAAAGACCAAAATGATCGACCATATTTACAAAGCAAAACTCTCGTGACGTCATCAAAATAAACCCCACGTGCTCGTTTTTTCCAAAAATTAATTCAGACGCCATGACACCTCGAGTTGCTACTGATCTAGCCTTTCCCGTATGAATCAGTCTCTTTCCGAACAAAACCGACAGACGAACGGGTGTTTCGTGATTCGTGAAGCAAGGGTGAACTAAATAGAATCATTCTATGGGTGAGAGTGTAAATGATTATAACAAACGATAAGTGATGTTTTTTGTACTGATAATAATGATGTTTTATGCTTATCCTTAATACCTTTGCTATCGTCATTATGATGATGATAATAATAGTAACAATTCTGATAATAATGATGATGATATAGTAATGATAATGATAATCATGCATGATGATGATAGTAATTATAAGTAACAGATAATACAATAATATAATTATATCATAATGATAATATGATGATGATAATATATAATGAAATAGTAATGAAATGATGATAATAATAATGGTAATAAAGATAATGATATTATAATTAATAATAATGATTCATAATGATGATAATATAAATGGATAATGATAACAATAATGATAATTGCATACCACCATCAAACTATCTATCTAATTATCTGACCTGGAAATATCCTATTTGACCAATTTACAAAGTAACCGTTATGCACAAATTATATATATATATATATATATATATATATATATATATATATATATATATATATATATATATATATATATATAATATATATATATTATATATATTATATATTATATATATATGTGTGTGTGTGTGTGTGTATGTGTGTGTATGCTGCTACCTAATGATAATTCTCAGCAGTTCTAAGATAAGCATTCCTTAACAAACACGCACTCTCACTCTCTGCCTCTCTTCTTCCCTTCCTCTCGCTCTTTTCTATCATGCACTTCCCTCCCTCGCGTTATCTCCACGCTCATATCCTTTCTCTCTCTCTCTCTTTCTCTTCTCTCTCTCTTCTCTCTCTCTCTCTCTCTCTCTCTCTCTCTCTCTCTCTCTCTCTCTCTCTCTCTCTCTCTCTCTCTCTCTCTCTCTCTCTCTCTCTCTCTTCTCTTTCTGTCTATCTATTTATCTCTATCTATCTATCTATTTAACTTTCGATACAGCTGCTCTCTCAGCGCCTCATTAGACTCGCCATTCCACTTTCTTGTCCTGAGGATGTTTCGAAGGCATCTGCCACGCGTGCTGATCAGTCTTTTGTTTCTTGAATAATGAAACTGGTGCCTTGAATGTAAAGGTTGGAGGCTGTAATGATTTTGTTGTTGTTTATTCATGGCTATTTTCCTTTTGTTGTTGTTGTTGTGTACTCATGGCTTTTATCGTTTTGTTGTCATATTGTCATAATCAGTATCATCGTTATTGTCGTTATTATTATCTTATCTTTTATTATTATCATAAATTTCCTCCTCATTATCATCTTCTTCTTCTTCCTCCTTCTCCGCTTCTTTCTCCCCCTTCTCCTCCTCATCATCACCATAATCATCACCATCATCATTATTTTTTTAATCACTGATATCATAATTTAATTCCTTTTATATTACAGTAATTAAAAGCAGCAGTGATTTCAAATTGCCTAAGAAATGAGAGCTTTTGTCTGAATTACATGAATTACATTAAATATATTGATTACAAGCATAGACAATACATTTTAGAAATTTTCTCTCTCTTCTTTCTTTCTTTCACTTCGTCTTCTACCATCCGTTTGTATATCATTCACTTTCACTACCGCTATCCCTATATATTCTACACTTTCTCCTGATATGCTTATGACAATATTTTCTATTGGAATTTCTCTACTATTTATGATCTCGTGATGAAAACTGTTACACATTTTTTTCCTTATTGCTTTCCAAGTCACATCTTAAAGGAACAAGAACTTTCACCTCAACATCTGCTGTTAATTAGTCGGTGCTTTTTTGTCCTATATGAATGAAATTGTTTTCGAAATCAATAACAGCTGTAAAGAAGACGGTTAGAAACAAGAGCGGGAGGTTGGAGATTTCAACGAAGCGGTAGATAGTGAGACAAAGATCCATTGTAGGACTTTCAGGCGGTTTGATATATGCATTGTTGTTTTTGTTTTTGTTTTTTGTTTTTTTTTTTGTTGTTTGTTGTTTTGTTTTGTTTTTTTTTTTGTTTTACAATAAAAATTAACTTCGTCTGTAATCAGCATAATGATTGAAACACCCTATAGAGGCGTAGGAATTTCTAAATCTATCTAATTTCATCTCACGTTATTTTTCCGCTTTTGATATTAAAAAAAACATCTACTCCATCCATCATCACTGATATATAAAAAAAACCGTACCACAGATGATAAATAGATCAATCCAGACACGAGATCTAACGTACATAGATCACAGATTTACTAAGATCATTGTGTCTCAGAGTGAACAGTACTTGCACATTCTTTGCTGTACTTTCACCCCGACAATGAAGTTCGTCACGCCACATCAGCGACATCGTCACGGCGGGGCGGGGGAGGAAGGGAGAAGAGGGAGGGAGGGGAGAGAAGGGGGTGGGAGGGGAGAGGAGAGGGGGGTGGGGAGGGGAGGGAGAGGGGGGGGGAGGGGGAGGGAGAGGGGAAAGGGTCAGGAGGAGGGGAGAGGGGGGGAGAAGGAAAGGAGAGGGGAAAAGGTGAGAGGAGGGAAGAAAGGAAAGGGTCAGAGGTGAGAGGGGAGGGGGATTAAGAGGAGGGGAGAGGGGAAAGGGTCAGGAGGCGAGAGGAAGAAAAGGGAATAGAAAGGGGAAAGGGGAAGGGAAGGAGAGATAAAGATGAAAGGGGGGAAGGGGAGGAGAGGGAAATGGATGAGGAAGGGAGATGGGAAAGTGTCAAGAGGAAGGAGAGGGGAAAGAAAGGGGAGAAGATAGAAGGAAAAGAGAA